TTGAGTCTAAGAGTTCAAGGACAAACTGAGCAGCATAAGGCACTTTCTCAAAATGTAAAAAGGCGGGCATGATATCACATGTCTGTAATCCCAGCACACGGGAAGCTGAGGCAAGAGAATCACAAGTTCAGGGTCACCCTGAACTAACTATGTAACGAGATCCTGTCTCAAAAAACAGAATTTACAAAAAAGCTTTTTAAAGAAAGTTCCCCAGAAGGCTGGGGATGTGGCTCAGTGACAGAGTGTTTGCCTAGAGTATGTAAGATTCTGGGATCAATCCCCAATACTGTAGCATAAAAAGAGAGTTAGAAACGTATATACAATCAGAAATAATTGTATGGCCAGCCCCAGTATTATCACATAACTTCAGCAAATATGGCCAGGCCATTCCATCTATCCCTTTGTGTGCTTCCCACCAGATTATTTAGGAGTAAATCACAGACATCAGATTATTTCACCCATAAATATGTCTATATTTATCCCTAAGAGCTCTTTTAAAATATAACTGCATGCCACACTAAAAAAATAACAATTGTAAAGGAGGAGAATTTATTTTGGCTCATAATTTAAAAAATCTGAAAAAAAAAAATGACTAGGCGTGGTGGCACAAACCTGTAATCCCAGCACTTTGGGGGACTGAAGCAAGAGCATCAGAAGTTCAAGCCCAGTCTTGGGAATTTGGTGATTTAGCAAGACCCTCTCTCAAAATTAAAAGCAAAAAAGGTCTAGGGATGTAGCTTAGTGAAAAGGCTCTGTGTTTGATTCCCTGCTATCACACACACACAACTAAAAGATTCTCTTCTTTGACCCAATCCAAATAAGGTCTATGTGATACATTTAGTTGTCATGGCTCTTAAATCTCTAATTATGGATAGGCACTTCAACTTTTCTTATTCCCTTGTAATTTATTTGTTGAAAATAATGGTTTTTTTTTTAACCCTGTAGTTTTATGTAGTCTGATTTTGCCATCTGCCTTGCAAGCTCAAGGTCCCAAGTTCAATCTCTAGTACCAAAAAACTAGTGATTTTGCTGATGGCATCCCCAGGATGCCTTTTAATTTATTTCGTAATCTTTCTTTCCTGTGTTTTTTTGTTTTGTTTGTTTGTGGTACCAGGGATCAAACTCAGGACCTTTAGCTTACAAGGCAGACGGCAAAATCAGACAATGTAAAACTACAGGGTAAAAAAAAATTTTTTTTTTCAACAAATAAGTTACAAGGGAATAAGAAAAGATGAAATGGCTATCCATAATTAGAGATTTCAGAGGCGGCAGAACCATTGAGCTGAATCCCTAGCCCTTCCTATGGTTTTTAGTAAGTTGATAGTTAGGTTAGTTAGGTCTAGGTAGAAAGATGGCTGATCAGATTCCAGTATTTTTTATCTTCTTCTGTGTGTGTGTGTGTGTGTGTGTGTGTGTGTGTGTGTTTATGTGGCTGTGTGTATGTGTGTGTGTGCATGCGTGTGTGTGGTGCTAGAGCTGGAACCCAGGGCTAGAATAAACTTAGGTCAGTGCTTACTAAGCTGTATCCTCAGCTCCATTTCCACTCTTAACTCTGAGTTTTTCAGAAGTTTCTTGGTTATCTGTTATTTATTTCTGGCTTAATTACATTGCAGTTAGAGAAACTGTGCCATTTAATTTGAGCTCTTTTAAATTTGTTGTATGATAAAAAGTGGAAGAAAAGAATTGAAATGTGTTATGTACATGTACCCATTCCCCATGATGAATGTAATCATTATGTAATGTAAATATATACTAATAGGGCTGGGGATGTAGCTCAGTGGTGCTACGCCTGCCTGGTAAGCATACGGGCCTGAGTTCAATCCCCAGTACCACCCCCCAAAATGTGTATATGTATATATCGATATATATAGATACTAATAAAAGATCTTAAATCTGAAAAATACACTTACAAAATATATTTACAAATATACAAATATATTTTTAAAATAAATTTATTGTATGGTCCTATATATATCAGTTTCTATAAATATTTCTTTGTGCTTAAAAAGAATATGTAGGGGCTGGGGATTTAGCTGAGGTGTTCCACTTCCTGCCTCACAAGCAACAAGGACCCAAGTTCAATCCCTGGTACAAAAAAAAAAAAAAAAAAAGGGTAATAAAATATTGGCTCCTGTATAGTCTGTATGTATTTTAGGTCATGTTTGTTAATTATCCTGCTCAAATCTTTTTATTCTTATTGATTTTTCTCCTGCTATCACTGCGGATTTGTGTGTTATTCCTTAATAATCTTCCAGTTTATTCTTACAATGTCAGTTGTTGTGCTTTGTATCTTTGGGCTATTTATTCATTTATTCAACAGATATTTATTAAGTGCTTCTCTGCCAGGCACTGTTCTGGTTGCTAGGGATATTTCAGTGACCAAAACACACAAATCCCTGCTGTAAGTTAAGAGGAAACAGACAATAGCAAGATAAAGAATGCCATATAGTTTTAAAAATCAACTGCCCTGAGGCAGGAAGATTGCTGTGAGTTTGAGGCCAGCCTAGACTACATTGCAAGACCCTTTCTCAAAAAGCCAAACAATAAAATTAAATCAATATTTTAAAATTTTAAATATATATATTTTTTGGTATCAGGGATTGAACTCAGGACCTTGTGCTTGCCAGGCAGGCATAGTGCCATTAAAAATAATTTTAAAATAAAATAAAATCAATTCCCTCACAAATTGAACCTTTTAGCAGAGAAGTACTGTTCTCTAGTAGTTTTTTAAGGTCTTACTTAATATCAAATTTCTGTGTCCTTACATGGTTGTTTCCCTCAGTCTCCCACCCAAACACCTTGCCCTATTCTTATGTTTTAAATGTGGTCTTTAAACAGCATGGTTTAGTTATTGTTTTAATTTTAACCAGTTTGACAATGTTCTTACAGTGAAGTGCTACTCTAACTTTTAACATTTGTGAATTTGAGTTTTTGTGTGAACATCTGTTTTCATTTCTCTTGATACAGTATATACTAAAGAGTAGAACTGATCAATCATATAGTAATTCTTTGTTTAATCTTTTGAGGAAGTGTTGAATTTTTGTTTCAAACCAGCAGCACATTTTACAATCCCACCAGTGGTTCATGAGAGTTTCAAAGCCATGAAAACTTATGTTTTTATCTAATTCTTACATTGAGATTTCATTCGTTGAAGTTAATTTTTATATACAGTATTAAGTAGAGATCTACCTGCATTATTTTTCTCTTTTTTTTTGGAGACAGGGTTTCCACTATGTAGTCCAGGCTGATCCTGAACTCACTAGCCCAGCTTGGTCTCACACTTGTGGGATCTTCCTGCCTCAGCCTCCAGAGTGCCGAGATTACACCACCTTTATTCTTTTACATGCAGATATCCATTTAACCCAGCATCATTTGCACAGATAGAAGATTGTTTCTAGCCAGGCAAGGTGGCACATGCCTGTAATCCCAGCACTTGGGAGGCTGATGCAGGAAGATCACCATGAGTTCAAGGTCAGCCTGGACTACATAATGAGTTCAAGGCCAACCTGAACTACATAGCGAGACCCTGTCTCAACAAAAGCAAATAAAAAAAAACAAAAACACCAAAATAAATTTGTTGGGGCCAGGGATCTAGCTCCATGCCTGCCTTGCAACTACAAGGTCCTGAGTTTGATCCCCAGTACCACTAAAAATAAATAAATTTATTTGTTGTATGTTCTTAGGAAAATTTCCAATGACTTTAGATGTTTTGTTTTTTAAATTTTCACAAGTTATAGAGTTTCACTAGAAGTGGATCAGTTGTCCCACTTGTGCTGCTCCAGAAGTGGGACCTCTCTCTCTCTCTCTCTCTTTTCTTTTTTGTTGCAGTGCTGAGGATCAAAGCCAGGGTACTGCACATGCTAGGCAAGAACCACTGAGCTGCATGCTCAGTCCTTTCTTTTAGAAGTCATTTGGAAATTATAATGATGCATTATCAAAAGCCAACATTAATCATTATGTCTACTCACCGTCTGAATGACATAAGGACTTTATTTTTATTTTTATTTTTATTTTTATTTTGTTTTATTTTTTGGTACCAGGGATCGAACTCGGGCCCTTGTGCTTGTGAGGCAGGTGCCCGAACCACTGAGCTAAATCCCCGGCCCAACATAAGGACTTTAGAACTATTTGAAGTTTTTTTTTATCAAATGGATATATTTTTAGATAGATATGTATACATTTAAAAGTAAGTATACACAGGTTCAAGACATTTGGTGTATGTGCTTGGCTGAGGAGCCAATGGGGCGAAGCTACCATCTGTGGGATTATGACTGAATGCCTCTAAGTCAGAATGCCTCCCAGGCGGAACTATAGGGCAGCACCCAAGGAGCCTCGGTTGGCCTGGGATAACCGGTCCCCCATTCCCGCCGGTGGGGGCCTGGGAAACGGGGCACGGCCAGAAAGGGGGCCTCCCTCTTGCCCATCATGGAACGCACATTCATGGGGAACCTGGCGCTAAACCATTCCTAGACGACCTGCTTCTAGGTCGAGGTTTCCTACGTAGCAGAGTAGTTCCCTGGCTGGGATCTATTAAATCCCAGCTCTCGGGAGGCTGAGGCAGGAGGATCGCTGTGAGTTTGAGACCATCCTCGGCTACATAGTGAGTTCCTTTTTTGGTACCAGGACTTGAACTCGGCCCTTGCACTTGAAAGGCAGGGTGAGTTCCTGGTCAGTCTCAACTACATAGTGAGACCCTGTCTCCAAAAAAACAAAAAAGTCAGCCCTCAACACAAGGGTTTCTAAATTACAACAAAAGACAGTAAAAAGGGCTGGCGATGTAGCTCAGTGGTGCAGCCGCCTGCCTTGCAGGTGCAATGACCAGAGTTCGATCCCCAGTACAAAAAAAAAGACAGTAAAAGAACAAAACAATTTAAAAAGAGAAACAATAGATAGATTTTAAAAAGTAAGTCTATTGCCATATATACATATACCTATACGTACATATGTGTGTGTGTGTGTATGTGGTAATTACAGTTTATCTTCCTCTCCTGTCTTGGCAGTTCCTCTGTGACGAGGGTGCAGGGATTTCTGGGGACTACATTGACCGCGTGGATGAGCCCTTGTCCTGCTCCTATGTGCTGACCATTCGGACTCCTCGGCTCTGCTCCCATCCGCTCCTCCGGCCTTCACCCAGTGCTGCACCACAAGCCATTCTCTGTCACCCCTCCCTGCAGCCTGAGGAGTACAAGGCCTACCTTCAGCAGCAAGAGGGTGAGTGAGGGGAAGAGTGGGGATGGTGGGCAGGCAGAAGGTAGGACTGTGCCCCTGTTCCACTGTCATGCTCTTTTTCAGTAGACTCAAAGCAATATGAAAATAAAATCACAGAGAAGCTACAAGATCTGGACTCCCAAATGTGGAGTGAGACCAAGTCTGGGGTGTCGCCCCCAAAGGGAGAAGGTAGGACCTGTTTTCACCCATTCCATGGAACTGGCCTCTACTCATCCCAGTCCTCTAATCTTACTGTCTTGTACTGGCTGGTGGGGCTAGGCCAGGTGGTTACAGTGGACCCTAACCCCTTTCTTTTTCCTTTCATTTTCCCTCCTGTTCTTTGTATCTCAGATGCAAGCCTAGCCAAGGACGACAGTAAAGAATCCGATTTCTGGAAGATGCTTCAGGAGCCGGAGGACCAGGCCCCAGGAGGGGAGGAAGTACAGGCAGAGGTGAGAGCCAGCTTCCTGGCCACCTCTCTGATGAGGTTAGGGGCTTTAGGATTGGGCGGTTCCTTTGAGTGGAGGTCACTGTGAGGTGAACTGTATCTGTCTAGAGCTACAAGGATATCCCCAGAACAGTTGCCTGAAGACCATGGTGGGAATGCAAGCTTTGTGCTTGAGTCTGCTCTTTCTCCTCATCAGGAACAGTACCTAAACCTCGAGAATGCAGCAGATCCGGCTCCAGGCCCTCCAGATGGTGAGTCAGTCCATCATGTCTCCTTCACTGACAAAATGTATTTTAGGGCTGGCAGCTGTGGGTATGGCCGGTAGAACTAAACAATGGAGGGAGGTTAAGCGGTCAGGCTGCCAGGAACTTCTGTCTCTGCTTGTTGTGCTAGGGATTGAACCCAAGGCCTCATTCATGGTTCTGTACTGTTAAGCTATAGCCCCAGGGAATTTATTTTTACCTGAATTAGTAGTCTTTGTAGACAGCAACATTATTTGAGGGAGGTAGCAGAGCACCCAGGCTCCATCACTTACTGACTTTGTACTCCAGAACAATTTCACATACTCATAAAGCCAAGCATGGTGACACACAACTATAATCCCAGCACTTGGGAGGCTGAGGCAGGAGGATAGCCGAGAGAGTTCAAGGCCAGCCTGAACTATACAGTGAGAGCCTGTCTCAAAAAAAAAGTAATAATCCCCACCATAGGGGGTTGTGAGAGTAAATGAAAATGCATCTATAATTTATAACAGAGTGCCTGTAACTTAGCAGACAATGAATGCTTAGTATTTATGGGAGGAGTAGAACAGGATCCAGGGAAGATAAGACCTTAGCCCCAGAATCTCTTTTGAAGTCCTAAAAACTGGAGATTTTTGCCAGAAGGACCTCAGAAATGCACAGAAGAGTGGACCTCTCCGCTCTTGTTAGCACACACCTGCCGTGAGCCACCCTGGGATAGGGCTTTCTGTTGTGAGGTGTTTGCCCCACCTCACCTACCAGACAGGTAGCTCCTGGCGGCGGAGACCATGTCCCTCCTTGGTCTCTGTGTGGCCTCTTCTTAGGAATCAAAAGAGAATTTAAAACACAACAAGTCCATGCGTATTCTCTCATCTCAGATTTTCAGAACAATGTGCAGGTCAAAGTCATTCAGAGTCCTGCAGACTTGATTCGATTGATAGAGGAGCTGAAAGGTGGAACAAAAAAGGTACCGTCCCTGTTCAAAGGAGGGGTGGGACTGCCTCCTGGCCGGGAACATTGCCAGCACTGGTGGTGAACCACCCCTACTTGGAGCAAACAGAGCTGACTTGTCCTCCATTTTCTGGGTCCCTTGCTTCCGCACCCTGCCCCTGTTTGTACCCCACCATATGTGGCTATGAAACCCCAAAACTGCCTGTCTTCTTCTCCCCTACCCCTGCCAGGGGAAGCCAAACACAGGCCAGGAGCAGCCTGGAGATGAGGTTGCCGAAGCCCCTCACAGAGAGCCGGAGGTGAAGGAAAAGGGTGACGCAGAGCATCAGAGTGTGGTGGAAGAAGCGGACAGTGATGAGGATGAAGATGAAGACGCCGATGAAAGGCAGTTACTGGGAGAATTTGAGAAGGAGCTGGAAGGGATACTGCTCCCGTCAGACCGAGAGCGGCTCCGTTCCGAAGTGAAGGCTGGCATGGAGCAGGAGCTGGAGGACATCATCCAGGAGGTGAGCATGGCACTGGCTCCCTGCGTTCTGCTGCCTGCTCCTGCTGGGTAGGACCAGAACAAAGGGAGCGCCTAGTGCAGCTCAGGACACCAACTTGATGGGGTTTTTTTAACCTAATTTGAAGAGGGACTGTGGGGAAAGGGGATTAGAGACAGAGATGAAACCCCAGACATTGACTCTCCTATGAGGTGTGTACTGCTGCCCTCAACTGCCCAGACACTTGACTCCACCCCATCCTGGGCATTCCAGACAGAGAAGGAGCTGAACTCGGATGGGCTGAAGAAAGATTCAGAGCGTGAGCGGGCAATGCTGGTTCTGACATCCACTCTCAACAAACTCATCAAAAGACTGGAGGAAAAACAGAGTCCTGAACTGGTGAAGAAGTACAAGACAAAGAAGACTGTCCCCAGAAAAGGTCTCCCATCACCCCACTCGACAGGTGAGAGCAGTCAGACGAGAAGGAGCAGCCGGTCAGTTGTCTGTATCCCTCAGCTGATGCTGTTCCCAGCGGGCACTGTGTTCTCTCCATTCCCAGAGTGGGCATTCTCTTCCTGCCTCCTGGAAGGAACCCGTTCTCACTGTCGCTTTCTCTCCACCACCACCCTTCCTGTGTTGGTCACTCTTAGTTGTCCTTCTGGAAGGAAGCTTTTCAAGGGTGCCTGTTGTGATTTTTGGTTTTTCCGTGCCCAGTGCCTAGCACTCTGCCTGGCACATAGATATAGACAAAATGGTGATGAGCCTACATGCTGAAAACCACGTGTCTGTGACAGATGCAGCCATCAACAGCTAGGATTTTGCTGTGGGATAGGACCCAGCTGTGAGGGTAGCCAGCCACACTTGAGCCACCAGCCTGAACACACTTAAAGTTGCTCCTCCTCCTTGTATGCCTTTATGTCCATTCCGTAGGGTTCTATAGGTGTGAAGATCACACATTCCAAACGGAACATTGCAGCTTCAGATCTTCTATAAACACTGAAAGGGCTTAAAGTCACAGCGTCCAGAGGACCAAACCAGTTTTCCAATCTACTCCTTAAAACTTCTTTGTTGGTGCAGGTGATTTAGTTACTGCTTTCAGAAAACAGTCGTTTCCTTGTAAGTGATGAGAATTACTGGGTGGGATGCAGTAAAAGGCTTCCATTAGGGGCAGAGGCACTTTTTTATTTTGAGCCCCGGTTCACATATGTGGTGAGATGAATAGCCACCCAAACAAACTGATAGCTTAGGGAGAGGTGACCCCTGGAGTCACGGCTCTGCTTTGTCTCCCTGTGTGTCTCCCCCTCTAAGAGGAGGATCCTGAGCACAGAATCCGGGTCCGGGTCACCAAGCTCCATCACGGAGGCCCCAATCACGATCTGACTGTCCTCGAGATGAAACGGGAAAACCCACAGCTGAAACAAATCGAGGGGCTGGTGAAAGAACTGCTGGAGAGGGAGGGACTCACGGCCGAAGGTGGGCCCTGGAGGGCGGCTGGTTAAGAACTGTTGGAAGGGCTTGCCACTGACGTGAGGGGCTGGGTCAGAGTGGACTGGAAACTTTAGCTGAGGGGCAGGGGACCCGCTTGAGGCTCCCAGAATTCCCTTCCTCACTACCTATACTGCTTCTTTCTAGGGAAAATTGAGATCAAAATTGTCCGCCCTGGGGCTGAGGGGACTGAGGAGGATGGACGTTGGCTGACTGATGAAGACACGAAAAGCCTCAAGGAGATTTTCTTCAATATCTTGGTGAGGCACCCTACCAAGATCTGGGACTTCCAGCCCTCCCTGCCCGAGCCTGCTGCATGTCCCAGACTTCCAGGGACTCGTCCCAGCCTTGCTACATGCTGAGCTTCATTTTCCTTCCAAGGCGAGGCTAGTGTTCTGGCAGCTCGTGGGCTGCCACTCTGGAAGAACCCCATAGGAGGCTGGCTCTGCCATCCTTGCCTTCCCTGACTGCCAGTCTCAGCATCTCCCTGGATCCTGAAGCGCCCAGCACTTCCCTTGGTCCCCATCAGAATTTTGGTTCACCCCTACCCTCCCACCAGGTGCAGGGAGCTGAAGAGGCCCACAAAGAGCGCCAGCGGCAGAAGGAGCTAGAGAGCAATTACCGCCGGGTGTGGGGCTCACGAGACGGTGAGGGCACTGGAGACCTGGATGAATTTGACTTTTGACATACCACTGCAGCGTGTTCCTGACTGACCCTGCCTCCTCCTCACCTCACCTCTGGGTCCCTGAAGGCAAAACACCAGAGAACAACAGAACAGTGGGCCTCTGTGGCCCAAACTCTGGGGAGTAGAGGGCTCTGGGGTAAGCAGTGCTGCAGCTGGCAAGAGCCACCCACAGACCTCCCCACGCCTGTGGCTTTTGCTCTCCTGGGCTCTCCCTGTGTGCTCTTCATTTCCTCCTCAGCTTTTCTTGTTAGTGTCCCCCAACTTGTTGACTCTTTCTTCTTACCTAGATTCAGTGAGATCCTGTGTGTGGTCAGGGGAGGGAGAGTGGGGTGGTTAAATAGACCCTAAGAAAGCAGGCTGCCCCCCGTGCTGTGGCTGTTTAGAGTTACTTTACCCACTTCCCTGGGATGGCCTTGGGATTTCCTTCTCCCTTTCCCAGTTCCCACTGTCCCTACAATCTGTGCTTCTGGGCTGAGGAGCCTTCACTTCCATTGCTGAGGAAATGGAGACCACTGCACATCACTTCCGACACAATCTCAGCTGAAAGGGTTGGGTACAGAAGCATCCACCACATTCTCCAACAATCAGGTTTCTAAATAAAGAACTGGACCACCAATCATCTGCCTTTTTGGGGAGGGAGCAGGTGGAGGGCACTTGGGAAGGATGTTTGTGCTCTTTTCATGATGGACGGTGCACTGATCCTGGCTCCGCACCTCCCAGGTGGTGGTGATGGGGGACTGAGCTGCCTGCAGACACCAGAGAGCTGATCAAACTGACTCAGCAAGGTTTGAAAGTTCTTGGCAAGGGTACTGCCATCCTCCTTTTCCTCATCTCTGTTTCTGTTCCTTCCTCATTTTTTGTAAATTGTATGCTGTGCTGAGGATCAAACCACTGCTAGGCAAGGGCTCTCTACCCATGAGCTACACCTCCAGTGCAGTTCACTCCGTCCTTCACCTGTTCACACCCTCCCTAGAAGCCGGAATGCACACCACAGTCACCCTGTAGTTACTGTCCCAGGATCTTTTGCCGAACACTCCTGCAGCATGTTCCAAATTCCATCTGCCAGCCACACCCCATATCTACCTGACCATTTTCCAGTCCCCAGAAAAGACCCACATTTGGCTGTGACAAGTGAAGACTGCTGCCTATACCTGACAGGTTCTCAGTCTGCCAAGGGCAGGTGTGGGTCCCCAGTAGTCTTCCCGTCCTAGAGGACTCTGGGCTCTCCCTGGACTCCCAGCTTGGAAGTGTGCAGCCTTCCTCCTGAAGACTCCATTGGCTCACAAGACAAAGAAGGGAACGGAGGACACAATGCCTTGTCTCCAAAAGTAGAAAGCAAGGCATTCAGTTGTTGAAGGAAGTTGCATAAGACTAAACTTGCTGAATGTGGACTAGTGCTTGCTGTGCATTGTTTAAATTGTTTATATTTATTTGGTTATTTTTGTGTTACTGGAGATTAATCTCAGAGCCTTTGCACTGGGCTACATCCCCAGCTCTTTTTATTTTAAACTTTTTTTTTTGGCAGGGGGCACCGGGGATCGAACTCGGGTCCCTACACTTGCAAGGCAAGGTGGTGGAACCACTGAGCTAAATCCCCAGCTCTAAACATTTATTTTTAAATTTTAAGACAGGGTCTTGCTAAACTGCCAGGCATAGGCTTAAATTTGAGATCCTCCTGCTTCAGCCTTTTGGAGTACTGGGAGATCCATGTATCTTGAGGTAAGGTGTGCTTCAGCTGGGCAAGAATTTAGAAACTGCCTTGAGAGTGGCAATAAGGCAAGGTGCTGATTTAAATACTCCCCCTTTATCTCCCTTCAGTGGGGCCTTGAGCAAGTCATTTAGCTCTTCTCATGCTGTTTCCTCCTTGGTGCCCAATAGCACTGTTGAGAGGACTGAGGGAGACGTGGTATGTTGTGCTTGACACACAGGGCCTGGCCCACAGTCAGTGTGCGCCAACTCATTATAAACCAGCTGCTGAATCTTGGAGAGATGAGTACTTGGAGACAAGAGTCTAGAAGGGATCCCAGAAGGTCATCAGAAACAGCTGAAGCATTTGGAACAGGAAGCAGGAGGGGTTGGGTAGATGGTTCTGTTTGGTTTGACAGGGACAGTCTTAGCATGGTCACAGAACCGAATTCTTGGAAGCCTCACTGTATTCAATCATTTTCTACTTCCAATAATAAATTCCTTTTTACTTTCCTTTGGCTTTTGGCAAATCACCCATGTAGGTCAGTCTACTCTAGCTGTGCTAAGGCAAACAAAAGGAGGGAAGCAGGGTGTGTGACAGATGGCAGCCAGGAGGGAGTAGCACAAGGGCCAAAGGATGGCAACAGGAACCTAAGCAAGGAAACCTAAAGCATGCTGAGGGGCTGATGTGGATGTGAGTGGGCAGTAGCTCTCCTTCACTCTCACTTCCCTTCTAGAGTCCTGATGTAACCTGGAGAGCCTGATGTTCTGTCACCCCTTCCATCTCCTACAAGACCAAAGATGCAGCCCATTTAAAACAGGATCAAGTGGATTGCTTGGTGGTAGAATTTGCTGTAGGTCTTGCTGACACCTTGACTGTTTTGTTGTTTGCTGGCTGGGGATTAAAGGACCTTCCCACTGGCCTGCACTTCCCTTCACAGGTGACTTCATTCACAACAGTGTCCGTTTCCTCCCCACACTCATACTTGGAGCATCTGAGGAAGAGAGCAGGTCTTTGTCAAGAGGAACAAGGGAGGAGATGAAGTGAAGGAATCTAGGGTCTGAACTGAAGGGCAAAGAGCCAGGTCCCCCAGCCAGCCTTCCTAGTATTCCCTCTCTTCCTCTCACTTTGTCCAGCTCATACACTTTCATCTGTCGCTGTACCTGCACCTCTGCATTAACCTCACCCTGGGTCAAGCTGCTGTGCTGGGTGCCCAGTCCCAGGCTGTGAGAAGGTACTGCAAACAGTCCTTTTCATCAGCTTATTGCTACACTTGCAGCTTAATGTCTTGGGGCTGGGGGACACCAATTCTCAAAGATGTTGGTGCCTCCAGCTGATTCATCAAGGTGGATAACAGCAGTTGGTGGTTGTGCCCAGCCTGCACCGGCTACTCCCCCAACACCAACCTGCCCAGCTCCTCTATCAGTGCAGACACTTTTAGCCACACCCAAGAAGTGGGACTGGCTATGTTCCCAAGCAGTGTGGCAGCTTGACCACTCTGATCAGAGTGATGACAAAGAGATGGGCTGGCGTGGAGCTTGTGGACATCAGGGACCTGCAGCCAGCTGAGAAGCCTCCAGGAGATGATCCACCCCTACCTTCCCTGGCACTCAACAGGGACCAGAAGAAGGAACTCTTATTATTATCTCTTTTCTGGTACCTGGTGCTCAAGGGGAGTAAACTGGCTTACCTCTCTGGAGCAACCCCCTCCAGGGCTGGAGCCACCTACCAGATAACCCTCTGAGCAGACAATGTGGGGATTCTAAGTAAACATGCCACTGAAGGCAAATGCCCAAGGTCCCTAGTTAGGGAGTGGAGGGCCAGGTTTCAAAGTCAGGTGTTTTTCTTCTTAACCAGAGTGACCTCATCTTCTCACCCTGGTCCCACCAGCCTGTCCACTCCTTTAAACACCACACTCTAGGGCTGGGGATTTGGCTCTGTTTCCGCTGCTTGCCTCTTGAGCGCAAGGGTCTGAGTTTGATCCCCAGTACCAAAAAACACAAACACCACACCCCACTCCCAAAACCGGAGTAGACTTCTCTGTTCCTAGGATTCTCATATGCGCTCCCACCTGTCCATCTATGCTCATCATATGAACCCAGGACTCTTGTACAAGATGGAACCACCTCCATGCCCATGGGCACTGCCCTACCACTGACCCATTCCTGCTTCCAGTTCCCCACCTTGACCAAGGCCATTCACTGACCTGTCTCTTCAAGAACAGACCAGCAGCTCACCTCCTAGACAAAATCACTTCCTCTTTAATTGCTGTTGATTCACACCACCTGCCTCTGAGGAAATGAGGGGGGCATCCCCCCTGCTCCACCCTACTTCCCTCCCCAATTACCTGGTCTTTTGTAAAATATTTTAGTCAGAAAAAAAAAAAAAAAAAGACCGGAAACCACTGACACAGACGGCCCAAGGGCTGGGTTGGTTAAGGGAGGCACAGCTGGGCCAGGTAAGTCCACCCCACCACCCCCTTTTGGGGGACAGGAGGCCTGGAAAACAGCCTCTGTACAACCTCTCAGATCTGGCTAGGAAGGTGCATAAGGTTGCAGGAAGGGTCTGGAGCTGCTGCACTGGGAGGGAGGGGCTGGACAGAAAGAAATAATGGAGGAGGGGTCCCATTGTAGGGGTGCCCCCTACCCCAGATCACCACGGGCGCTGCACAGTCACAGGTACGCAGTCACAGGCACAGACACAACCCGAGAGCACCCCCACCCCACCCCCTGCCCACCCTTGGCTTCCCCTATCCCAAAACACCCTCCCCACGCCCTGCCCACCCCACCCCCATGTTGGGGAACAAAGCAATAAATTACAAGGCCCCTGCCCAGCCCCTTTAGCCTGCTCTGGCTCCTCCCTTCTCCCTCTCAAGCTTGTAGAAGAGGGACCCAGGCTCTTGGCTCCCCCTGGTCCTTTAGCTTCCAGCCATGGGTAGGTGTAGGGATCATCCTGATTTCCACTACTCTTCGTCCCTTTCACGGAAAGGGTTAGGGTTGGCCCCCACCTCCATTGGCAGCAGGGGTCCTGCCCCTCGCTGCCCTTCTCCCCTCATTGGGCAGTGAGATCAGCGTGAAGGGGTGGGGTCCCCGTTTTGGCCCCAAGCGCCGGGGCTGGCCCTCCACATACCAACCCCTCCCTCTGGCGTGGCGTCGCCCCAGGAGCCAGCCTGGGTTTGGGCTCCAGCCTTGGGACTGTAGAGCAAAGGCAGGACTGGGTCTTTTTCCCGCCTCTAGGGGCGCGAGTGGGCAAATCCAAGCGCCCAGGAGCCGATACCAAGGCGGGGGCGTCCTTTCTGCAAATACCGGGCGGGTAGACCCAGAACAATCCCAGAGCAATCCGAGTGTGGAAACAGTGGAGAGGGGGCGTGTCGAGCTGGGGTCTCCGTGCCTCGTTGGGGAGAGGGAGGTGAGTCTGTGTCTTCCGGGGAGGCGTGGGGGCTGTGCTCGCGTGAGGGTAGGAAGTGCTCCCGTGGGGCGGGGTGCGCATCGGAGAAGTGAGTGAGTGCATCTGTCCGCCGGTCCACCCG